GCGCGCACAGCACAGCCTGGAGGGAGGAGGAAAGGCCAAGACGCCGCCGCTCATTTGCCACTGCTCGCTCCGCCTTCGCCGGTGAGAAACCCTCCACCGGCTCAGCCCGAGAGCAGACCCGCGCCGTCGGGCTCTGAATGGGGAGGGGGGGCGCCGAAGGCGCTTCTTCTTGGACAGGATTTATTTGCTCGCGGCAGGTGGAGAGGCGGCAAAGGCAGCTTTTCCCAGCTCCCGGGATGCCCCGACGATGGCGGAAGCTCCGTCGGTCGTGGATGATAAGAGCTCATCGAAGTTTTGGAATAATTTCTGGAATTTCTGAGACACTAGGCACGGATAGATATATCCCTGCCCGTAGGTTTAGCGCAAACAACAACCATTTAAAACGGGAGAAAGGAACCCCAGAAAGTGTGTGAGTGTCCTGCATCTTTTAAAGGCGCAGGAATCTTCCTGGAATTTTCCTGCGGCGACCCTGCAAACGCAGGACTTTGATTTGCACATGTGACTTCCCCACCACACCGCAACACATCCATCTGTGCATCCCTTCTTTTCAATAAATCAAAGTTCGTTCTCTATCGCAGACAGACCCACACACTCAACTCACACACGTAAGAACTTAGTCTTTATTATACCAGCGTTCAGCCTTGGAGGATATGGCGGAACAGAGTTTCTAAACTACTATTTATAGGGCTCCGTTGACTAAGCAGGGCTAGCCCCTCCGCTCACTTGCTGGGAATATGAGAAAGGAGCTTCCCCTTTGGAGAACGTGCCTTGCTTGTTAGGCAAAAGAAGTTCAGCACCGCATAGGCATTGGAAGTTAAAGCATGGGACGCAAATACAGGCGCACACAGCCCAGTTTGTAGCTCTAGCTTCCTATAATTCCTACCCCGCCACACATACACATATTTAGAGAGGCACTTAAAGTGATTTTGAGTCTGTTTCCACCTGCAAAAGACAAAAAGAAAGTTTTCAATGTTCTATGCAGTTTTAAAACAGACCAATGGGCCATGTGGGCTTTGCAAGCACATTTCAAACTTCCTGCATTTTTGTGCCACCTGTGAACAGAGTTTCATTTCTCTTTAGTCCTCCATTCTTTCTTTCTTTTTCCTCACGGAGTTCTACACATTTAGAAATTACTTTTTCATGTCGTAACTTTTCTCGTTGAAGAGAAGTGGGGACGGGTGGGCGCTGGGGAAAGACTTGCCCGTTTCACCTTCAATTCCCTCTTTCTTTGCTCTCAGGTGAAACTGAAAAGGTCTGGAGAAAATCTTGTAAGTTTCACCTACGCTACCCCTGCATTTTCCCGTGTTACCGTTTTCTTACAGCTGCTCCCAGGAGGATATCAGAAGTGTCTGCTTTTCTTTTCAGTGTATGTGCACCAGCGTTGGTGGCACAGTAATGCTTTAATTTTTGTTAATGAAGAAACTGATATGGTATCAGTGGCGCTGGAAAGATAAAGGAAGTGGCTTGTGATAGAAAGATACCTAAGGTAACAAAAGAGCAGTATGGACCAGCATCTCAGGATGCAGTGTGGGCCAGTAAGGAGATGGAAAGTGGTCTGTTTCTCCATGAACTGGAGGTGGCACTGTGACATTTAAAGAGAAAAATCTTAATTTGTGGACATGATGCACACTAGGTGGGAACATTTGCCACCTGAAAATGGGAAGGTGATTTTGCCCCGCATAGCAATTCCCTCCTTTTTCACCGGCAGCCTCAGTTAACTGTCCTGCTTTCCATTGCAATGTCTGGGTGGACTTGGCCAATCTTAACATTTACTGTCCAACTCTGAGCACCCATTTCTTGTCTACCTCAACTGTCTCAACCAATGGTCTCCAAGTCTTGCTCAAGGAACCGTCCTTCACCTTTGGTCACACCTCAGTTGACTTTTTAAAGAGAATGCGATGGACATGAGTATAACTTGCCTAAAACTGAGAAGAAACAGAGTTGTGTATTTCATCACAGCTTCCCCCAATAATTCAAGAAACATCTCTAACCTTTCTCAGCTTGGACCTACGTTCAGTCTCATTCTTCAGTGGGATCACTTTTAGTATTTTTACACTGTCCCCCCCCCCGCGCTATTTCTTTTTTCCTACTTCCTTTCCTTGATTCTTTTTATCCTGCTCTCTCATCCACTTTCTTCCTCTTCTTAAAAAAGATAATACTAATAATAATACTAGAAAATGGTGGGTGCTGCTGCCAGTGCTCATACCAGGAAAATGAGTGGCACAGAAGGACAAATTTTATTTAGACATGAGCCAGTTGTGTCCCACATGTTACGATCTTGCAAAGAAAAATAATAGTATGCATTAAGGACAGGAGTCCAGCAATTGGGGAGGCAGTGGGGAGGGCTGTTTCCTTGTAGGGGGGGCGATTTCCGCCCTCTGGCACTGTCCATGGCTCTTGCTGGTGTGCTTGAAGTGTGCCCTAAGTCTGGCTCTCAAAACACCCACCAGCTGAAGAAAAGTGGACTACCTCCAGGTAGGCAGTGACCGAAGACCACATCAGCACAGCCCCATGTCGTTATGTGAAATGTGACTTTTTGGATGACGTGGAAAGAGGAAAGCTATTTACGAGTGTTTCAGTGGAAACCAATTAATAAAGAGCTTTTAAAGAGCACATTAACACTTAGAACCCTGGAACGAGATCAACACGCCCCTTCAGGTCTTTGTAAAACTTTTAACAGCGGCATGGCACGTTCGCCTGCTCCCTTTGGATTTGGATAGCTTTCGCTTTCGAGCAAGGAAGTCAGCTTGTAAACGCAACCTTAGCCTCTAATTTTCAGTTGATGGCTTAATCGTGGACGGCATGTGAAAAGTACCCATTTTTCACGTAACCACCTGCGCGGGGTGGAGAGACTTGTCCTTGCCCTTACCTGCGCCTCCAACTACACCCCCCAACAGCTGGAAAAGGGGGACTTGGTTACCTTTCTGCCTGAAAGGCAAACCCGGAAAGGGTGTTGATGGGGCGAAATCCTGATTTCAGAAATGCAACTCCTCCTCAATTCTACCTGCTCTGCTTTTGGTTCAGAACATCCGAACAAGCCTGCTCGGGATGGCGCAAGCCACCTCCCGCACCCCGTCTCTGATGCTGAGGTGGGCAGAGCAGGGCGCCTCTTGCGAGCCGCCCCTTCGGGGTCTGAGGAGTCAGCAAAGGGGAGGCTGAAGCCTTTGCAGGACGCCCTTCCTCTGACTCCCCCCCACCCCACCCGGCCTAATGAGCTGCTGAAAGGGAGCAGGTTCCAGCGCGCGTGGCTAGCGGGACTCTGCGATTGGCCAGCTGCGCCTCGCGACCCCCCATTCATTAATAAATTAGCGGCACGCTCCAGCCGAGCGCAAGGCACCAATCGCACCCCAGAGCCGTCGGGGCTGCGCCACACACTTGCGAGGGATCAGATGAAAGCGAGAGGGAAGGAGGGGAGGGGTCGGTGGGGTGGGTGGATGGCAAGGGGGCTTCACGCGGAGGGAGGGGAAGAGAAGCAACCTCCTAACCAACCCCCCAAAAGAGAGAGAGAGAGAGGGAGAGAAAGAAAAAAAGAGAGATGAGTGATGATAATGAAATGAAAAGAAAGACTCGACCTGGGGAGAGAGGAGGGGGGGAGGAAGAGCCGAGGAGGCCCTGGGGGTAGATTTGATTGTTGTCCGGGGGGTATATAAGGGGTTTTAAGGAGAGTCGTGTGCCAGACGCACAGCCACGGAAACACAAGCAGCTTCGCTTTAACTGGAGGCGAGGGGCGCGTGCCAGCAGCTCGCCCCGTCGGGCTTGCCTTGTCTCTTGCGCACGCACACGCGATCAGCAACACCAAACTCTCTCCCCCCCTCCTTCCGTCACCCCGGCAAAGGGGTCTGGAGCCACCCCAGCGCCCGGCAACAGTGGGACCCTCTCCAGCAAGCAGGGAGGGGAGCGGCGCGGGGCCAAACCCGGGCTGCAGCTTTTGCACCGAGGGGGCGGTGCGGAAAAAAAGGAGAGCGCGAGAGACGAGCGACCCGACGCATTCCCTGGCAAAAACAAAAACAAACCCCAAACAAACTCTACGCAGCGCGCAGCAAAATCCGACCGCCTCTAGAAGGAGAGCCAAGTAAGTCTCGCTGCGCGCTTGGATAGAAGCTGGGATGCGTTTTGTTGGGGTTGTGAATTGACTTGGGTTTTTTGTTTTGTTTTTTGGTTTTTTGAGTTGCCGGCGAAAGTCCCGCTAAATTGGCCAAGCGCAATCGCAGGGGCCGCTCCCCGCCTCCCACCCATTAGCACTTAGATGGGGAGGCAGCGGGGGTCCTTTCCTTCTTCCAATAAAGTCTGTCTGGGTTTCGCTTTCCTTAGTCCGCTGTTGGCACTTTGACACCCAGACGCGGGGAACAAATCAGAGGGGTCGTTTAAAGCCCCTTAAGTGCTCTACAGAAGTTTACGGGGCTTTGCTAGAAAGAGGGGTACAAGCCATATCCGTTCATCAGGAATGGGCGGTGAGTCCCATCTCTCCATCTCTGTCTGCCTAGTTTGTTCCGGATGGCGCGGTAGCTTAGTTGCTAGAGCATGAGATCCTAAATCCCACAATCCAACGTTGGAGCCCCACGTTGGGCAAAAGACTGGGCATGGCAGGGGGTTGGACGCTATGGTCCCTATCGACTTGAAAGGGCCCGTTTCTGGGCATAAGCAGGAAGTAAAGAGTTAAGTAGTGTGAGGCGCCGTCAACTTTTCCGGCTTGTCAAGCGCTCAGCACGTGGAGTTGGAGAGACTAACTGGCAAGCGAGCGCCTCCGCGCGCCTCCTCTCCGGCCAGAGGCTCCAGGGAGATGGACGAAGCGGACGCGGCAGAGCTGTTTTATTTTAGTATTAATTGTTATTATTACAGGATGAAATTTGTATACCGCCTTCATCCTCAGAGCTCAAGGCAGTTCACAACACAATCCAACTCTGCTATATAGGGTGGGCGGAGCGGGCAGCCTTGCCAGGGTCGTCAGGTTCATTTCGCTGATCTGACCGCTTCTCTTCTTGCCTCTTCTTCCTTTCAGGATGTTTGTGAAGCCGGAAAACCTGGAACTGAAGGAGGAGGAAGCGCTGCTGCTTGGAGCCCGCTCGCCGCCCGCCTCCTCCTCTTCTTCCTCTTCCTCCTCCTCCTCTCTGACGCAGTTCTCGTCCGGCTCCGAAGGGGAGGACGAGGAGGAGGAAGAGGCGTCCCAGCCCCTCTCGCCCTCGGGGCCGGCGGAGGGCGTCCCCGGAGCGGCTTCCGAGCTGGCTCACCTGCGCCACCTGGGCCTGAGACGCCACGACTGCAAGCGGCGCTCGACGGGCCGGGCCCGGAGCGGCTCGCGGGCAACCAAGACGGTGGAGACCGTGCAGCGCCTGAAGAAGAGCCGGCGCCTGAAGGCCAACAACCGCGAGCGCAACCGCATGCACAACTTGAACTCGGCACTGGACGCCTTGCGCGAGGTGCTGCCCACCTTCCCCGAGGACGCCAAGCTCACCAAAATCGAAACGCTTCGCTTCGCGCACAACTACATCTGGGCGCTCAGCGAGACGCTCCGTCTAGCCGACCACGGCGTCGGGGGCGTCGGTGGGGCGGCCGTGGCGGCGGCGGCGGCCGCCTTCTCGGAGGCGGTGCTGGGCAGCGCCGACGGCAGCCCTTCGCCAGCCTCGTCCTGGAGCTGCACCACCAGCCCGGCCCCGTCGGCTGCCTCCTCTTCTTCTTCGACGTACAGCTGCACTCTGTCCCCCTGCAGCCCTGGGGGCAGCTCCGCCTCGGAGCTGGACTACTGGCAGCCGGGCAAGCAGCGCTACGCGCTGTCCAGGGACCTCATCTGACGCCCGAAGGTTATCCTCGCTCTCGCCCGGCCTCCCGGTCAATACTTGACGCCGTCGAGCGCGGCGCGCAGGCGCCCGCTCACCAAACAAGGACCGAGGGATTTGGGCGCGATCCCGGGGAGAGTTCGGCCCCTCGGGCTTCCCGGAGAGACGTGAATGTCTTGGGTCTGTCCTCTCCTCCCTTTCGCCATGCCAGCTCCGCGTTGGCCGTGCCTGGCGCGGCATCTGCCGGCTTCCCATCGCCCGCCTGGAGGCTGTGGGAATTTCACCTGTCAAACCAAACTTTCTCTTTCTGATGTGCACTTTCCCACATTGGCCAGGCACAATGTCTTTTGTCCTTCGCCTTCTCCCTGTGACACACTCACGCGCTCCCTCTCTCAGACGCACACATTTCTCCTTCCTCGACGCCCCCATTCCCCATTTTGCCATCTGTCTCTCCGATGATTTATCGGAAATGGCTGGATGGAAAAAGGAGAAAAAGAAAGTTTTGGGCTCTGTTTTTGTTTGTTTGTTTGTAGATCGGGTGAGAAGTCATTGTATAATTTGTAGTTTTTTGTCACGACTGAATGCAAGCGTGGAAATTTAGGCGGAACTCTTTATTATAAGGGTTTGTGGGGGGGGTATAGAGGTGGGGGTCGGAGTGGGGTGGGCGCTGAACCAGGAGGGAAGACTGGCTCATGTATTATTTATCTTCTCGACCCTTTAGGGGGAGAGGAACTCCTCCGTCCTTTCACCAGTTTACAAAAAAATCTCAGCAGACTGTGAAAATCCCAGCAGACACGGAGCATTACCCGCAATCAACCACCCACGTGTTTGTTTCTATTTATTACAAAGGAAAAGATTTCATGGGGGAGGGGGAAGACAGATTTCCCCCTGTATATTTCAGAGTTTATTCTAGTATGTATTTACAGTTCTCAGAGCAAGGACATGGTTCTTGAAAGGAAACAGATATATAAATAAAGTATATAATTTTCATAAGATGTGATTGGTGGTGATCCATGACTTTATTTCTTGCAGTTGTATTTTAATTTCTCAGTTACTGGTTACCCTAAGTAGATATCCACCTAAGGCTGCTTAGCAAATCAGATTTAATATGAACCAAAAAGTAATTCCTACCTATCAGAATGGGATTTGGCATGAATTGGGTCAGGCTGTATTAATACTATTTATATGCTTGGCTAAATGAGACAAAGCAAGATGTGAGTCACTTTACAAAGCCAGCAGCAAAACTTTCTCTGATGCACCTCAGGGGATCTGCTTTGCACCACAAACAGCATAGATAGGGAAGTGTGTGTGCACACTCATAACACACACACACACACACACACACACTGAGTGAACATAAGAGCCACTCTTTGAAAAATCACACAGCCAGACTCACAAACCAGTTCAGCTGATAACTTGGATTTCAGCTGACCTACCTCCATAAGAAAGATGAATTATTGAGAAATATACCAATTCTACACCAATGGAAGTCAATCTAATGATTATTCACTGCAATGGGATTAAAATGGTTTATGTCCAAGTGGTTGTGGCTTTTTGACGTTACGGATTGAGAAGCTGCTTCTAATGTGGTTCATTGGCTCCTGAAAAGGGCCTTAACTCCAGAGTTAAAGCACTGTAACTGAGATATATGTTTATTTGTTTTAGTAAAAATATTCATAGCCCGCCCTTCTTCTTGACTAGCAGAAAGGTCCCCCAGGCCTGCTGGCCTAATTAGATCCTGTCCAGATTCTAGGGCTGTCCTACAGCATATACTAGCTGTATATCGAAGATGCTGCTATAAATCAGGGGCTTGTGCCGGTGGGCTTTTTCTAGCCACTACTGCACCATGAATAGCTGTCTGTGTGGATCTCCGTCTCCCTCATCATCATCACATCCATGGATGACTCTGTGTAGAAGCACTCCCCCCCATCACTTTTCACCTAGTCTCTATGCTTGTGTGTGTACACTGTATAGCAGGATGAGTTACAACACACCAAGGACCCAGTGGCAGTCACCTGGGGGTAAGTCCCATTAGAACCAACCGAATTATTAGGCTGCAGTGTCAGCAGGCAACCATATGTCGCAAGGCAATAGCAGCCCCATTGCTAATGCATTTACAGTTCTAGGAAGTAAAGCCTAATTGATGCCTACTCATAGTGCAATTCTAGATGTACCCATTCAGAAGTCGCATTTAATTCAGTGGGACTTCAGGGTATGTACAGAGCTGCAGCATTGTTTGTTCATTTATGTTTCACATTTATATCCCACTTTTCTTTCAAGAAGCTGAAGGGGGTGTGGATGGTTCTCTCCCTTCCCATACCCCATCCTCACAACAACCCTGTGAGGTAGGCTAGGCTTGCAGTTGGTGATTATCCGAAGGCGAGCTTCATGGCTGAGTGGGGATTTGAACCCAGGGCTCTCAGGTCCTAGTCCAGCACTCTAACTACTACATCACACTGCACTATATTTGCAGAGCAGCACATTGGCACCCCGGGACAAGTCGAAACACATCGATCCAAGGGTCCACATTATTTTGGCATCTGAGGTGGGAAAACCCACAAACACCTCTCCCCCTGCCTGGTAGGAGAAAAAACACAGCAACACTTAAATAAGTTATTTCCCTTTCATGACAATCCAAATCTCAGAGGGCTACCTCACTCCGCTTAACGGTAGGGTGTGTGTGTGTGTGTGTGTGTGTGTGTGCATGTTTACACGACCTCAGATGATATTAACTTCGGGGAATTCTACGTTGAGGTCTTCAGAACGTCTGAAAAGGGCCCATCGCGTGTTGCCACCGGCTGGGAACAAAGGAGTGAGAGTGATGCGTTTCGTCGATTGGTCCCTACGTGTTAATCTGGTGCCAATCAGAAAGCAGCTCCAAGCCAGGGAAGAAGGAGAAACAGAGAGAAAGGCAGCGAGCTCGCTGCCTCCCTTCGTTCAGCTTTATCCCTTCTGAATGGGCTGAGTGACAATTGGCAGACGCGGATCCTGGGCGCCTTGTCGCCGCACGCGAGTCCTGCCGAGGGCGAACCGCCCCTCGCTCCAGGCAGCAGACTGACAGGGCGGGATTGCAGCACACACCGTTGCTCGCTCTCTCTCTCTCTCTCTCTCTCTCTCTCCCCCCCCCCCCCCAATACCCAGACCAAACGACTAGACGGCAGAAGGGCAGAAACAGAACCACCAATTCCAAGGGGAAGCCGGATCGGTGGGACAAAAGGAGACCCACCTGAATCCCAAGCTTCCCTTTACAACCAAGTCCTCGCGGGGCGGTTTCGCGTGCGGACGACCGTTGTCAATACAACCCTACATGTGTCTACTCCCTCTTTTCCTCTGTTTTGTGAGCGTGCCTGGGGCAGGTGTTGTTGTTTAGTCGTATAGTCGTGTCCGACTCTTCGTGACCCCATGGACCAGAGCATGCCAGGCACTCCTAGCTTCTACTGCCTCACGCAGTTTGGTCAGACTCAGGAGTGCTCTGATGGTGTTTCCTGCTTGGCAGGGGGTTGGACTCGATGGCCCTTGTGGTCTCTTCCAACTCTATGATTCTATGATTCTATGCTGGTAGCTTCGAGAACACTATCCAACCATCTCGTCCTCTATCATCCCCTTCTCCTTCTGCCCTCCATCTTTCCCAACATCAGGGTCTTTTCCAGGGAGTCTTCTCTTCTCATGAGGTGGCCAAAGTATTGGAGCCTCAGCTTCACGATCTGTCCTTCCAGTGAGCACTCAGGGCTGATTTATAGGTTTGATCTTCATGCAGTCCATGGGACTCTCAAGAGTCTCCCCCAGCACCATAATTCAAACACATCCATTCTTCGGCGATCAGCCTTCTTTATGGTCCAGCTCTCACTTCCATACATCACTACTGGGAAAACCATAGCTTTAACTATACGGACCTTTGTTGGCAAGGTGATGTCTCTGCCTGGGGCAGGTATGGCATTGGAGTTACAGATTGAGCTGAGTCACTGAGGCGCCAAGTCTAGGTGAGGAGGAGAGGCCGACCAAGACATTCTACTGCCAGAGGCAAAAGGTGACTCAGCACTTCTATGTACAGAAGCAGACTAGAGTGGCAGATAAATCTTATTTCAACTCTCCTGTGGGGACTGCAGCTTTTACAGCTTTAGAGGGCAGCAGGCTTGCTCAATGGGCACAGGGCTGCGTAAGACACAAGGCTCTGCCCTCCAGTACTTAACTGCCCTGCCCTTCAGCAGCATTAATTGGAGAGGGGTAGGTCTTGGTGGTGGATGATGGGGATTGTCAAACGTGCACATGAATGAATGCAGCTAAGTGTAATTTTTATTTGAATCAGTGAATTCATTTATCAAGAACCAATGGGACAAGCGATTTTTATTTTAAGTAGTGAATTAATTTATCAAGAATCAACAGGACAAGCAACTTACGACTTATTTATTTGCAAAAGTTTATCTATTTATTTATACCTCCCTCTTGCAAAACCTCAGGGCAGTGCACAAGACGTCAAAAACGTCTGAGAGCAGTAGGAAGCAAGCATTAAAATGACTGGCCACTCTAGGGACATTTTAGACTCTCAATGGGGCATATTATTTCAAATGATTTCAACGGGAACTGAGCACATAGTGAAATAAGTGAAAAGATCCAACCTATTGTGCTGTTGTCACTGAAAAGCCCACTGTAGGAGTATTGGACAACAACTAAGTTGTGCTTGTTGCAGAATGTATAGAAATGGCTTTTTTGCATTCTGCTGGCAGCCACCCAGAGTGGCCAGGGAAACCCAGCCAGAAGGACGAGGTATAAAAGATAAAATTATTGTTATTATTATGACTTATCCACACATTATACCACATACCTGCATAATCTGATGTGTGGTTAACCTTTCTTTAATAGTCTGCAAGAGGAGACAATAAAAAAGGGGAGTTTACCCCAAAGTAGTATGGTTCTCTGTATGGGCCTCCTACTTTCGATACAATGATCTTGCAGAAAGGTCCCATCTCATATGGTTTTCTCAGTTTGGCCTAGCCTGATTTCTTTCTTTTTCTCCT